CGACCCTGACAAAGGCAGATGGATCTGGAAATAAATATCTAAAAGGGTTTAGGGTTTGTTTAGGGTTTGACATTTAGAGTTTAGGGGTAGGGAGTGTAAGGCTTAGGGCTTAGGGGGTTTACGGTCAGGGTGTCCATTGATCGACCCATCTGGCGCACTGTGCAATTAGGGGATCCAGCAAACAACCCAGAGAGCAGGCGGTGGGTCTAATTACGGCATGGTTCAGCGTCTGGGACCGTCGGCCTACGTGCACAGCTGCGGGTCGACGAAGGTCTGTGTAAGGGTTCCAAGGTCTGCGACCGGCCCAGTATCCTCCACCCAGCAGTACATCGGCCATGCGAACTCACAAAACCCCAACCCTAAATCTCAAAGCTTACATGCCCTCAACCCTATAGGCTATATTGCGAGCCATTGTGCCTCTCTCGCTTCCTGCTTCTTCTGGCCACCTTATGGGGTTTCAAGGTCGGGCCTCATAGGTGCGGACGATGGCTTCCCTTGCCTCAGGAGCAGAAGCAGAAGCTAAAGGCTAGAAAAAAGGAGCAAGTCGATAGCGCCAGGTCTCATCACAGCTAAAACTCCCTGCGCCGATGCTCAGCATGGAAGCCGCTTACATCATCATCGTCAACGTCATACGGAGCACCTCTTAATCCTGTTCGTTTACAGGAGAACGCCACGGTTACGTACTTGGCACCTCCAATCATAAATTTCAAGCGAGAGCTTTCAGTACATTGGTCTGCTGGCTTCTCCAACTTGTCCATTTCGAAACTGATTTGGAACAACTACTAACAGCTGCTAGTAATCGTCCTGTTCGGACAATGACTAGGTCAGAGCAGCAGGGAAACCAAACAAGACTCACTGCTGTCGCTGGCTGCTGAAAGTGTTCGCGCCGTAAACAACTGAGAGCTGCTAGACTGACAAGCCCAAGCAAATTATTACATCCTTAAAACCCTAGACCCCAAAACCCTAGCCACGGTCCTCGGCCACGAGCTCGACAACGAAGGGTGTGGGAGCCTAGGTGCGCTTGCGGGTGTCAGAGCTCATGTACTGGCATCTGCTGGGTTCAGCCAGGATTCGGCATTCAGCCCTGGCGCCTTCAATCTTAGTCAAGTTCTTCTTGGAAGCAGCTGATAGGAACTAAAAGCAACAGCGACAATGATACGTAGTAACGACAGGGCTACCAATCGTAAAGAAGTGACTTACGAGGAGTACCAATGCCAGACAGGATTACACTTGCTTTGCAACCTTGCATTTTCAGACAGCCCCATTTTGCAGCTTTTTGGGGTTGTTCTAAACTTCTGGGCCCTTGCAGCATCCTAAACAACAAGTAGATCGATGGGTTTTAGTGGGACCCCAACCAAAAGCAACCCCCACATGCACATGCTCCAAACCCTAGTGGTGCAAACAGCAATCGAGAAGTTGCGAAGTTTTCCGACTGTGAAGATATGGTGAACGTAGTCCCCTAAACCCTAAATCCTAAACGCAAACCCCTAAACCCCTAAAGTCTAAGGCGCAAGCCACATCCCCAGCGCCGGTGAATTGACCGGAAATGGAGAGCTCCTGAACAGAGGTCTGTTTGTCAGCGTCTTTCATACAGATTCCAGCATGGACTCTACGGTTTAGGGTTACGGGTCTGACAGAGTCTAAAAAAATCATGAGAGGTCGGAGCGGAATATGCGTGCTGCTTATCGTGACCCCCGTCAGGTCAGGACACGGCTTAGGCTAGCAGTCTTGTCCATCCGGGAGCTGTGAGCTCAAAACTCTAGGATGTGAACCTCTGAGGCTTATAACTCATCGAGCACCTTTTACTGCAGCCAGAGGCCTAAACTGCCTTGAACATGCCAACACTCCAACTGCACCCAAAATCTCTAGCACTATTTATATACGTACATATATATATATATGTATATATGTATGTATGTATATATATATATATGTATGTATGTATGTATGTATGTATGTATGTATATGTGCATACACACTTCGCTTCTTGCAACTCTTACTGCGGCGATGACCATTACGTTGCAATAGCTTGTGGAACTAGTCTATCTCAATGAAAGCACGGAGCCCTGTAACAAAGAGAGCGTTAGTAATAAGAAGAGGGTTCGGGGTCTGTTCTGGTTTCATGCAATCGGAGCTACACAAGGGCAGGTATAACGACAACCTATTATAATAATGGTAATAATCATAGTAGTAGCAGTAGTAGTAGTAGTAGTAGTAGTAGTAGTAACAATACTAACTATGGTAATAGTATTAATAAATAATCACTCACCCAATCACCCAATATTGCATGGCCTCCAATGCCCGGTGAAGGTTCGTCAGTGGAGGCAGCTGGTCGACCACCACCTCCCAGCAGTGCCCAATGCATGTGGGTAGTTCTCTAAATTAGGTCTCTTTTAGGGGTTCCTTAAAGGGATCTATAAGGGTTTCTATAAGGGTTTCGACTAGGGGACCATAAGGGTTCTATATAGGTAGTTCTCTAAATTAGGGTCCCTTTTGGGGTCCTTTGTGTAAGGGTGCCGTACTATATTTGGGATCTAAGAAGGGACCCTGATGTAGAGAAGCACCCCTGTAGCAAGCGCTGATGGCTTGGAAGCCTCAACACGAAGTGCATGTGAGCTTGCGACAGTGGGACGTGATAAGACCAAGAACTAGCAGACCTTGCGAGACGTAACAGAAGAACACTGAAGATATAAATAAATGGACACACGACTAACAGCAATACCAATTATGCGAACATCAAATAAGACCAACTGTAGTGCTGATAATCTACCAAGACGAAGGAAGTGAGGTAAACAAATCACAGTGCTCCTCTCTACAATGCCACAAATGTCTTCGAGTTCCGAACTGGAGGTGGACTTGTATTTCTGGAGTCGGGGTGTTGGGGATGTGGATTCAGGCTTCCGTGGGTCTCCAAAAACATTGCCAACAACTTCAATACCAGGACCACCTGCAGCTTTGAGATGCTAGGCCGCTCAGGAATAGAATAGGCTTTGCGTATGCTTCCTGTGGATTCGGAGCGCCTCAACCTGCCCAAAAGAAACATCTAAAAGGAGCTCGGGGTTTGTCGCGCGGCGAGGGTTAACTCGGCCCAAGATTGCTGGGTGCCTCGTTGATATATCTCCTCAACCGGAGGAGGTTTTCTCTCCGGAAGGAGGTCAACTCATAGCGAGCGCGGCACCTGAGGCTTTAGGACTGCAGGTGTTGGGTCCAGCCCAGGGGACACCTTATCATTTACACTACGCCCAACATTCCATAACCCCGCATAACCCCCCAGTCCTTAAAGCCTAAGTTTTCGATTCCAACCCTTCGTAATTCGAGTAGGACTTGGAAAGATAAGGGGAGAACCCTACAAACTACTCCGAGCCGTATCTTCGGGTTCTTTGACACATTGAGGGTTCTTTTAAGATTTTCCTTCTATAGATGTCAGAAGGAACCCCAAGGAACAATTTCGACAAATATGCGCAAGCTTCTATGCTCGTGTAAACATACCCATTGAAGTCACTCTCATAGAAACTCTTGTAGAAACCCTTATGGAACCCTAAACCCTAAACCCTAAGAAACCCTTACGGAACCGCTTATACAGGAACCCCTATCACGCTTCTCTATCTATGGTAAGGTTGGAGGCCAACTCGGGCAGCGCACTCAGCGTCCATGACTAAGTTGTAGATGGAGAGCCAGACCTGCCAAAGGAAGGGTAGCGGGGAGCCGGGAGGAGGGCTTCGGGTTGAGCTGTAAGATTTAGTAAATTTAGGATTGAGGGTTTAGGGCCAGGGATTTCCAAAGAAACTCGTATTTGAGCTCACTTTTGTGGTTTCGTGATGGAGGTTTTTCTCTTCCTGTTCGGCTCTTGGGTTCAAGGGTTTGGGCAATGCTGGAGCCCTTGAGGCTCCGCAGAAAGTTCGGCGAAACTCAGATGGAATGTCAGCCAGGTGCTCAAGTGGGCTCTATCCGCTGGGGGGGAAAACTCTTGGGTTTAGGGCCTTGGTTTCAGGGCTTCTGGAAATTGGCGACTCAATGCGCCGGCCAACTCGCTCCGATTGCCTTTGTTCTGATCAAGTTCTCTTCCAGGGCCCCAGGGCAGATGCCAGCTAGAAGAACACGGAAGGCCATGGCGATGCCCGCGACGTCCAGAAAAACCAGCGAGCTCTCATCACCAAAAAATGCCAGAACCCTGGAACAGGGCCCCTGCACACTTCGCAAATTCCGAATGCCCAGACTCAGCGACCTGAAAATCCCCAAGCAATGAGACCGGGAGAACCTGCAAACAATGAAGCTCTATGCTCCATCCCTAGAGCCCCGAAGCACCAAGAGACCCGAGCCCGCGTAGTAGCAGAAACAGTGCGCTCACCCTAAACCCCTGTCAATTCCGGGCGAACGCCTGCGACTGCAGCTTCGGCAAACGACCCTCGTCATCTGCCTGGACGAGGCTTTGCTGGTACTGGAACAAAAACAACTGTGGTGATGGTGGTTGTGGCGGTGGTGGTGGTGGTGGTGGTGGTGGTAGTAGTAGTCGTCGTCGTCGTAGTCGTAGTGGTAGTAACAATAGTCGTAACCGAAGTCGCAACAGTACTCGTCGTCGTCGTCGTCGTCGTCGTACGACAGTAGTACCAGCAGCAGCAGCAGTAGGAGAAGCAGGAGCAGGAGCAGGAGTCGTAGGAGTCGTATGCGTGGCAGGAGCTTCTTCGCAGTTACCGAATAGTTGGGTTGCATGAGTGACACATGGTCATAGGAGTCAGTGGCAATTGACCTTCTTCGAAACTCCGGCTTAAGAAATCCTTTATGGCACTTACACTCCCATGTCAGTTTCCGATATTCATGGGACCCGCAGCAGGCCCGGTATTGGATGCTGTGAAGCTTTTCTGGAGTGTGTTCTTCGGCCCTGGAATTGGTCAGAACATCTGGTCTGGTAGCATTGCACTTAGCCGAAGAACATGTTTATAGTGCGAGGCGGGTAATGCGCCCTTTCCGGCGGGGTCCGTTTGGACTTCGAACTGCTATGCCTCCACGACCTGCCACTTGTGCTCTTCGAACTTCTCTATCCTTCCGTTGATGCCTCGGTGCAGAACAGGCACGCGAACTTTCAGGGCCGGGGGTTCCAACACTATGCGCTGATCCAAGACCTCAAAAATCAGCACTGGCACAGTAGGACCTAGCCGACCAGCCTGAAAGCTCCAAGCCCAACCCGCACCTCCCCAGCACTCATCCGCCCCATCCCAGGCTCTGCTCAGGCATCGGCGATTTCTTCGGACCCAAGGAGCCTGGCCGTCGGGCTCTTGAAGCGCAGGGCGTTGCCCATTAGTTTCCTAAATCCGGATGCCTTTGCCGCAGGCGACTTACTACCTGCTTCGGGCTTCCCGGCTGCCCAGCTCAGATTCGGGGAAAGAAGGGAGAGAGCGGAAGGTGGTGGACTCAAAATGACCTGGACCTGGTTACCAGCAGGTTGGCAACGGCTCTGAGAAGACTTACTCTTCTTCTTCGTCTTCTTACCACGGTCACCACTTTTTTACCACGGTTACCATGCCTCTGCTCTTGCGTCCTTTAGGTGCTCTGGCAATGAACCCTTCTGCTTGCTACTGCACTCGAGCGCACCGTTGGGACGACGGCAGACTTCCAGAAGGAAAACGAAATTCGAAACCGTAAACCAACGCCCTTTCACAAGCTACCGGCCTTCTCCATGAGAGGGACCAGAAGCAGAAGAATCTCGGCACGGACACCACAGGCTCAGGCTTCGCATAAGCAGACCATAGGTCTTTCAACGCGGAAGAGGTTTGGGAGCTCTTGTTCGATCTGCATCCTGCTTCAGGAGCTGAGGACATGATATTCATGGGCATTGACTTCATTTCAGGTGGCCACATGCACCCATCTCCAAACAAACGCTTCAAGAGTATTTGCTGCAGGTATGTGGCTCCTGCCGTGGAGAGGTTGAGGTCAGGACGTCGTGGGTTTCCAGCAGGCGTGTCGTCACCGCAAGGGGCACTGCCACACGATGGTCGGTGAGGAAGCGGATGATGGAGATCACGCACATGCAAATCTGGCAGCCAAAGCTTCGGGGTGCAAGTCCTTCATGAGGGATCCTCTAGAAGGCTGGTAGGTTATCGGCTGTCAGACACTGCATTCATCTCATCAACTAACTTGTCTCTGCAAGGCTCTTGCTAGAACATCATGCAGCCCACAATGTCTCAGACCGCCGGCCACCTGAAACTCGCATTCCACGAACTGCTCATCCAACATCCGCACGTTGTCCCATTCCGTGCACTCCTGCGAGCCAAGATTCGACACACAAAGCTCCAAGCTGCAAGGCTCCATTATAGCAAACCAGCAAAACTGTCCGCTGTCCTTGGCAGAGGCGACTTGCCGAACGAGCTCATCGTTGGGTGTGCAGACTAGGTACCTCTTTGAGAACAAGCTCTGAGATTGCAGGCGGCCTATGGGCCTACAGGACTCCGCACACATTCCATCTGTCCTAAGCATCTCTACTAAGAGCCCTAAACCCTAAACCCTAAGCCCAAAAGTAAAGCCCCGAAAATCAAGGGCTTCTCGTCGGCCTTAGCTTCCGGACACAGTAGTCAACCAAGTCGACGAGAGCATCCCCCGCCTGCTTCAAGGGGCTACAGCTGCACGTCCTTTTGTTGCCGTGGCTGCTTTGAAATCCCAAAGCAACCGTGAACCCGTATCTCTGCTACACCTACAGTGACCTACAGCCATCGGACATAGCATAGTGTTATAATTGTAGTCGCGGCTGTCTGTCTCGGCTCCCTAAGCTCCACCCATTGGCTCCTAAGTAGTTCCTCTTTGTGGTTTACATTTAGAGCCCTTTAAGGTAGTCCCAAAAAGGAACTACTTAGGGGCCTATGGGCAAACCACCCAACTTATGTCATGCTTGCGAGCCCCATCTTGAACTTTCGGCCGCTTCATGCTCAGGCTCCCTGAGCCTGAAGACATCAAAGAACCCAGATCGCCCAGATTTCCAGACTGCAACCCCAGACTTGATATTGAACGCTTCATACGCACGCCTGAGGCAAAACAGTGCCTCCTCACAGCTGGTGCGGTGGTAGAGGCAGACCTCTAGAAGGTTGGCGACCGACGCCTGGCTGGTTTAGGGTTTAGGGTTAATGGGTTTAGGGTGCGGTTTAGGGTTTAGGGTTTTAGGGTTTAGGGTTTTAGAGCTTTAGGCTTTAGGGTTTAGGGGGATTTCCCTCCCCTTCCAGCATGCTTCAAGGAAAGCCCGCTGGGCAGCCCGGAGTTATGCTTTGAACTCAGCTAAAACGTCAGTCAGATGTAGCAGTAACAGCGGTAAGGCCCTGGAAATGATAGCGAGCGTGGTTATGGTATTGCCGGTTAGTAGTACTTAAACCCTAAACCCCAAACCCCTATTCCAGTGCGTATCAGGCACTATCAGCAACGAGCAGGAAGAGCTCCTAGAGGTGATGTCCTTGATCTCAAAGCTCCTCAACGCGAAACCTTCTCTGAGCGCGCGCGTGCGCGCGCGTCAGCATCCTTCGTAATCAAGCACTACGCACTGGCGACAGAAATTCTCCGAGGCATGTGGGAGGCAGAATGTGGGGGGGGGGGGGGGGGGTTGACTTTGAACGTGCTGGTAGCACCTTGGCTGCAGACGTGGTCGTTGTGCAGTCATATCAACACTTGCGTAGTGAAGCAGTGATGCAGCAGAGCTTTCTGTCTCTCGGTGGTGCTTGAGCAACTCCCGACAGTTATAGTTATAGCCATGTCTGCGAACTATCGAGAGAAAAAGGTATACGCTTCTATTTCAGAATGGCTCCTTAGAGAACAGGTCCAAACAAAACGCAATAAAGTAAAGTACTCCAGAACCCGGACATAGCAATTTCCCTCCGTTTCTAGACCTGGCAGTGTGGCCACGCACGGCCCTACTCCCTGCACCCAGAAAGTCCAACACATCAGCCCTGAACACCAACAGCCCCAAGCCCGAAACACCGCTGAACGCCTCGTGGTACACCGGAATGTACGTTCGGAGTGAGCTGAACTTCGCAATCTTGGCCTGCCCCGACCGACGAACGATTGGGCTCTGCTTTCGGGATTACTTAAGTGATCAGGTTCGAATAAATGATGATCCGTCTAGGTCTTCAGAGAATCAAAAAACTTAGTAAGTAGGTCTTGAAATATCTTAAATAGGGCTTCCAACACTCCTGACCTTCCGTATACGCCCTACTTGCAGTTAGTGATGACCATTTCCATTT